AAAAAAAAAAAAAAACAAAGACGTTATTTTTACTTTCGTGGCTTTGGATGATTTTATTTATACCTTATCTTCGCCATTGAATCTATAATAACTTTTAAGTGGTTCAGCTATACTCGTTATAACGCAATAAGTTTTACTTTCAAGATGATATGTTACAAAATGTGGTGTACATCTTAATGGTACTTTCCTAACAGGCCACGGAGCATCATATGATAAATGAGTTGGTAAAACACATATCCTCAATTCCTCCTAAAATTAACACATAATCCTAGCTTAATTTTAATAATTATAAAAGATAATTTAAGAAATGTATGTATGAAAAATTTAATTAACTTTTCGGTTGAAATATAAAAATCCTTGTGGACAATTTATATTATTGAAAGGTGCAAATGAAGTAACAGGACCATCAATACCCATTGGATGAGTACGTAATTCACCACGTCCTGTAAGAAATATCCAATGAGGATAATCACTGCAAATAAATACACCATTATATCCAGCGATATTACTAAAATAACGCATCATGCAATGTCGAGTTTCATTCATTGTAGGCATATCTTCATCTCTTGGCTTTGGTCTACAAAATAAATTATTAATTAGAAATCGTGAAAACAGAAATATCATAATTAAAAAAATATACATATACCTTAAATGCCCTGGTATTATACCATGATCTAACTTTTTAAATCTTAATTTTAAATGACCTTTTGGATATCTATATGCTTGATAAATTTGAAGTTCAGAATCAAGTCGTACTAACAACATTGGCCTATTACCATGATGACCCAATGCTACCATTAAAATTTCCCGCACCTAATTATATATGTTATTTGATCAATTTATTTTATATAATTATTTTTATTTTTTATTTAATTTTACATATATCTTAAAATTCGATTTATTTACAATACCTGCATTTCAGGATTAGGAATTTCATTAACAGGTGTTGTTTGTAATGTTGTAGATTCCATACTATCATGTAACACATACTGTCCATATCCAAAATTCCGAATAAGATAGGATAAACGTAAATCAGGAAGAGAATAAATTTCCAGCGTTCCACTATCTCTATATACTAATAGCCAATACGTTGGTTTTATTTCTTGTAAATGTTTTTGCCACCTATATATATCAAGAACATTTAAATTTTACACTTTAATAATATTATTAAAAATGTAACGTATTGAAATAAGTATTTTAAATATAATTTTGAATTGACATATTTACCAAGGAGTTCTTTTAAATACACCTTCAGATGATTTAGTATGTGATGGTGTAGGCATTTGAAAAGCTGGTGCATCGCCATACAATAGATCATCTTCATTATCAATATTACCAACAATAGGTGGTTCTTCTATATTATGTTCTTCTTCAGGTGCTTCATCTTCTATATTTTCAGGCAATTGTGTTGTAAATATTCCGCTAACGTCTCTATAAGCACATAATGCTTCTATTTGAGGACGCTAAAATTTGAATAAAATAAGAATGTTAATGAAATACTAATTTGTAGTAAATACACATATATTATAAACTATATTGTAAACTTGCAAATAATAAATTAGCTGCTTGAGCATGCAATCTAGCCGTTCCGCGCCCTTCTCTAAGAGTCAATAACATGACCTGTCCATCTTCAGAAAGTAATGTTACATAAGGATCTGCACTACTTGCATGTACAATTGGACATCCAAGATCTATGGGCATATGTTGGATCTATAATTGTGATATAAATATTTATATTCAGATTGTTATTTAAGTACAATTTCAAATAACATTGTATGTACCTGCTCAATTCCTTGTAGAAGACGTACACCCATTTGAGTAACTTGCACTATATATCTATTTGCACCAAGATTTCCTGCAAATACTGTACTTCCTTGTGTGCTGAATCCACTTTGATCTACCTCATTAATTTCTTGACCAGTTTGCAATATCTAGACATATATATATACGTATACATACTATATTTAAAAACTAAAAATTATAGTAGTTACATAAAAAGCATTATACCATCGTTGAATCTTCTTGACTTAAAATTAAAAACGCATGGCTTCCTTCTGTTTCAGGTCTTACTTGTTCATCATTATTTAATGTACCAATAACAGTCCACATATCTTCACATCCTGGTAATTCAAATGTAGTTACAACCTATTTTAAATGTAAATAATGCATTTATCATATCATGTAAAATGTTTTAATTTGAATAATTTACGAATTATTCAAAGCATAAAACAACTTACTTGAGGTCGAATAGAACGCTGAAGAACACAAAGAGCCCCATTTTTACCATATCCAGATGTTGTAACAAGTTCAACATCAGGGTCTTGATTATGTGAAAATTCTTCTGATAGGAAAGCTGGTTCACCCATAGATATATTACCACATGGTCCAATATTTAATAAACTATCACATACCTATAAAATATAAAAATTTAAATATATATTAGATGGTTTATTATTTTCAATGAATTATTTATTATAATATATGCTCCAAATATACTTCAAATATATACGATGTAATTTGAATTGAAGTATGTGTTTCTCTCTCACTGCCATATACTTCTAATTCTTCTGGATCTTTTATATCTAATACATCAGATGCCATCCAATCTCCTATAAAATCTTGTTTTATTTTTTTTGCTGGAGTTTCTTCAGTCTCATTTTCTTCAAGTACTACTTCATTTTCATTTACATTTTGTAAATTTTCTGGTTCTTTTTCAGTAAATCTTAACAACAATGAGTTACCAAGACGTGATCCCAGAAACAGGTAATTATCTTCACACATACACACCTAAATTTTCATGTTATTTTATGAAAATATTTTTATATATAAATATACATTGATTAAAATTAACTATACCTACACACGAAGTTAAAACACTTGCTGCAGCTTTATCAAAATGAAAACCTCTTACTGAACGCATACTATCCGCGAATAAAGATAATACATACAGTTCTCCACTTTTTAATGAAATAACTAAACGATCTGAAGAAATAAATGCAACTTGCGAACCTTCTAAACTTATTTTTACTCCTTCTTGTGGTTCTATAATAATAATAAGATATTTAATTATGCATACTAAATAATATATTTGAAATATATATCAAATATAATATTTAATACTAACTTAATGGAAAATTTGTGCTAGTTTCTGCTAAACTATTTAAGGATACTCCATAAGGTGGTATACTTTGATTTAAATAGATAAGAGAATTAACTGCCATGATCAAAGTACCACCGAGTGGCTTCTTCACTGGTACTGCTTGATAGCAGTCAAATGGTAAATTTGATACAGACCAAATTATGGGGTGTACTCTTTGTTGAATATTTAATGATATTGCAACCATAGCACAAGTATCTTGCCTAACTGCAATACGCCTAAAATATGACATCACATTTATTGCCTCATTAAAAACAAAATCGTATAAGTTTAATCAAACTTACCCAGAAAATGTTCTTACTGGCTCATATAATATTAACAACGTTGGTTCATAATAACCATGTAAAAATTGTAAATCTATTATATTATCCATTTTTTCTTCTAAATTTTTCAGTACAATCATATATGAAGATAATATAGGAGTTTTATTGGATGATGCTTTTAAATTATCCAACAAATCTCCGTCATCAAGACTCGGATCTTTTTTAAAAGGTAATACAACTAATTTTCTGCCATATATTAACATTACGGCACATCTACCTTCAGGATCTACTCTAACTATTGGAATATGATGATGATTTGTCCATCCATCCTTAAAAAAAAATAGACAAACATAATTATGTTATGTTTTAGATTGGGAATTTACATTTCATTTCAAGAAATATATGTTTAAGATATTTATTAAATATTCCAATGTTAATTACTCGTATTTCTTCTTCTTCGAAATAATGTAAAGATACTGTTCTAAGATCGTGAATATCTTGATCATATTCTACAACTGATAATTTTGCATCACGGAAACTTAACAAAAGAGAATCTCTTTGAGATCCAATAAGAGTTACAGCTTGCACTGACATCACATTTCCGTGCAAAGTATATTGAGATAAACATTCTAATTTCATTTTCGGTGGTCGTGATTCTAAGAAAAATAGAATATTAATTTCTGTTTCTTTCTAAATAATTAAGAATTAACAATTAGTTGACTGTACCTGTATACTTTTCTTTCTTCGTTATGTCCACATCCGGAATTAAACGAAATACTCGAATAATATTCGCACCAGCTACTACAAGACATTTTTCTGAACGATTAAAGAAGTAACACGTTATTGCGTGCTCTACTCCTGTAGCTGGATGAGTACTTTTATATATCGAATACATTTTGTTATAACATCACAAAATCATATTCTGTATTGTCATATGAAGTACGCTCTTTAATACTATGTACCAATATATAAAATCGAAAATACACTACTTCCAATTTACAAATAGAATTTACAGTGTGTTCATTCTCAAGTCCAGTTAGTTTTGTATGTTGCTTGTTACAACTTAATCATAAATTTGTTAACTGTAAAAAGTAAAAATAATTACTTTCGTTACAGTTTTATTTTTAACTTAATAATTTAGGTACAATTATAATTCTTTAAAAAAAATATCAAATTATTTATTTTTAGTTAAAAAATTTTTATATTTAGATTAAAATACTATTTTCGATGAAGATGCACATCTTTTGTGTTTTATAGATCATGATATAATTTGTGTTGCGTGTTGTGTGTTAAGTGCCGCGAGTGCATTCAATTGAAGAGAAAATGCAAGATCGTAGATATTAATTTTATAATTATCACATACAATATAATGCTTATATAACATACAATATTATTCATGCGACTCTTTGAGATAGTTTATATTGTCATTTATATAGAGAGATTAATATGAATATATTTCACTAATTAAATTCAAATATAAATATAACATTTCATATTGAATATAATACACATAAGTTCAATTATTATTCAATGTTATATATAATTCTTTGATAAATGTAAGAAGATAATGTCAAATACAATAAGCGGAAAGAACTTATTACGACCTACAGGGTTGCAGTGTAAAAATCTTCAAGAATATTTAAAATCACGTCCACCAGAGGTGTTAAATAAATTATATCACAATCCACCAATTTGTTTGGCAGTATTTCGTGAATTGCCAGTAATAGCAAAACATTATGTTATGCGGTTATTATTTGTTGAACAACCTGTACCTCAAGCAGTTATTGCCTCTTGGTGCTCTAAACTTCATTTCGAAGAACATCAAAAAGTAGTTTTGATATTAAATGAACTGAATGTATGGAAAGAAGCATCAATACCAGGTGGGCTACCTGGGTGGATTTTAAATACTACATTCAAAAAAAACTTAAAAATTGTCCTTTTGGGAGGTGGAAAACCATGGACAATGTCAAATCAATTAGAAATTGATAGTAAACCTAGAGATGTTGCATTTTTAGATTCATATGCATTAGAAAGGTGGGAATGTGTTTTACATTACATGGTTGGTTCACAACAGCAAGAAGGTAATCTATTTTTTGATCAGATGAATTATATATATATTCTGTATTAAAATTTCAATATATATATACACAGAATACATCTGTCTAAAATTTTAATTTGATATGAACAATTATAGGTATATCTGCTGATGCTGTTAGAATTCTTTTACATGCTGGTCTAATGAAGCGAGATGAAGCTGATGGAAGTCCAGTCATTACACAAGCAGGTTTCCAATTTTTATTACTGGAAACTGCATTACAGGTACTTAAACATAATTATTATTTTTTTTTTTTGATTCTGTTAGTAAATCAGGATTGCATTTACGAAATAAAAGAAAAATTTATGAATTTGTGAATTTGCGAATTTGTGATATATTCATTTCTTTGAGTATGTTATAGGTGTGGTATTTCATTTTACAATATCTAGATACAATAGAAGCAAGAGGACTTGACTTAGTTGAGTGTCTTACTTTTCTATTTCAATTAAATTTTTCAACTCTCGGTAAAGATTACAGTACTGAAGGAATGTCTGAAGGTCTGTTAACATTTTTACAACATTTAAGAGAATTTGGTTTAGTTTATCAAAGGAAACGAAAAGCTGGAAGGTAAACACTTTTTTTTTAAAGATTATTTAAGATAGATGATAATATTGAGTGAATATTTTTAGATTTTACCCTACAAGATTAGCACTAAATATTGCAACTGGACAAAATAAACCATTGTCTAGAGATCCAGAGAAGGAAGGATATATTGTTGTTGAAACAAATTACAGGGTATATGCTTATACAAACTCAAATTTACAGGTTGCTTTACTTGGTCTATTTTGTGAAATGTTATATAGGTATGTATTTGAAAGAATTAAATACTTCATATTAAATGACTCGGATGAAAGCTTAAACTGTTTTATTTATAGGTTCCCAAACTTGGTTGTATCAATATTAACAAGAGATTCTGTACGTCAAGCTTTAAAAAGTGGAATTACTGCTGCACAAATTGTAGGGTACGTTTTTATTAAAAGGGCTTATATAAAATATATCAAGCAATTAAAATAAGCATTCAAAATAAACAGTTAATTTGAATTTTGCTATATTAACAGTTATTTGCAGCAACATGCTCATAGTAAAATGATAGAAGCAGGTCCTCCAATTTTACCTCCCACTATAGTAGATCAAATTAAATTGTGGGAAAATGAAAGAAATAGATTTATATTTAGTGAAGGGGTGTTGTATAGTCAATTTCTCTCTCAAACTGATTTCGAAGTGCTTAGAGATCATGCTCTTTCTACTGGAGTACTAATTTGGCAAAGTGAAAGGTTTACTTTTATATTGAATATTTTATTTATATATATTTTAAGAATTAAATGAACAAATACTTATAACATGAAATATTTTATTTTCATAGAAAACGGACTATGGTAGTTACAAAAGCAGGTCATGACGACGTAAAAAAATTTTGGAAACGATATTCCAAGGGTTCCAGTTAGTATAACAAAATTGTGATAGAATTGTGTTTACAAACAATTTATATAGAATAATTTCATCTTCAATATATATATATTTTATAATATTTGTAAAATACGTGATTTATTAAATATTGTGTTACATACCAAAAAATAATGTATATCAAATTAGAAACAAAAATACTATGAGAGTATAACAAACCAAATCATTTAAAATAAAGAATAACGATCAATTTTTATCAGTTTGTATCAATCATTTTTAACATTTCAGATTACTTCAGTAAAAAAATTTAATTATTGTCAAATAAAAATAGTTCTTGAGATTAAACAAATAAATATATATTGAAATATTAAAAAAAAAAATTTGTTTTTATTATATACAGATTGTCCATGTATGCTTATATAATGTTTGTAATTTTGATAAAGTATATAAAATATTTTATAATTTTTAGAATATTAATTTTTATTTATTACAACTTTATTTTAAAAAAGATGATTACTACAAAAATATAATGAAGATATAGAAAGTAATACATGTACAAAATAAATCAATTCATTTGTAATTTAAATACACTTAATAAAAGCAAAGCATTTACTTTTATTATGGAATATTAGTCCCAAATATTAGACGGTAAGGTAATTTGCTGTCAGTGCTGTGGTGGTGATGGTGTAGGTTTTGGCATTTTAGACAATAAACTTTGAATTTCTTTTTTCTCATCGTACGTTTTCCACAGTTCGTATAAATTAATGATGTAACGGGCGATTTCTTGAATTTTTTCCATATCTGCGTTTAATTCGGCAAACCATGCTTTTAAATCTTTTTGCAATATAACACAGGCTATTTGTAAACATCCTAAAAATATTTTCAATGATATAATATTATGGTATAAAAATAGTTTGCGTTTTAAATATTTCAATATTTCCTTACCAATAGCTATTTGATGTGGTGGATATAATAAACATACATCTGTACGTAAGCTATCATTAATTATACGCCAAGCCAATGTGAGTAATTGTTCATCTGGTCCTACATCTTGAATAAGAATTAATAAAGGTCGATAAGGTTGATACACTATTAAACAGCAATCTAGGTGTTCCAGAAGATAAAATTCACATTCTGAGATATGACTTCCACGATAGGGAAATTCTTGAGAATAGGCATAATTGAATTTGTTTTTCACTAAAATATATAGCTTATCTTAACTCGTTATATATTTCTTTGCTTACAGACTTATTTACTTTATTCTATTACATTTGCTATACATGTAATTACATACCTACAGTTTGACAAGCTGCAATTAATCTATTATGAGAAATAACTCCGAATTCTTCTACTTTTGAAGCTAAAAAAACTGATGTAGGTGCTAATAACAAAGGGTCTATACACTTTAAGCTGTTACGAGCATAAAATCTTTTAAAATAAACAGTTGCTGTGGCTATGACCTGTTGTCTCAGTTTTAATTGTTCACCTAATACCTGTATTACTAAAAAAATATAGATGTTTATTTAAATTAGTTAAACATGTATAACCATACAAAGTATATAAATGATACAAATACAGTTACATTGAATTTATGGTACAATAATATTTCCTAATCTTCACAATATTAAGTCACACTGACATTTTCGATTAATTGACTGATCGAACGTTTAGCTTACGATTGGAAAAGAAGATGAATAATTTTTGATATTCTTCCTCTGTGAAAATTGAAAGATCATGCTGTCTTTCTCGTACCAAGTCCTGTTTATCCAAAAGCCATTGTTGACTAAAAGTACAAAATATTTATTTATTTCATGAAATAAAATTGCAAAATACTTGTTTACAAAAATATCTTACTGATGTGAACTTTGCCAAAAATTACCAGCCATATTAATCTTAAACTAATTGTCGGAAAAATAAGCAGTTGTATATCGCTGCCAAGCTGTCTCGACTATTTCCTGATTCTATGCCACATTTATCTGTTTGATTATTATTTACATTAGTCACTGTATATTTACAAAATTTAATGTAAACATTATGAATGCCAGCATATTTTCGCGGCTATTTGTATTATTTAAATTTATATTCTCTAAAAGAACTTTAGTGCAATGTTGTGTTCGAAAATTTACCAATTTCAATAGATTTAGTATAGTAAGGATACCTATCTGATGTACAATTTCTTCGTTGTCATCCCTTCAAATTTCCCTATGATCTCTGCACTGCTATTTGTCAAAAGCTAACCTGTAGCATTATTCAGTTCTATGTCAGTAACTTTTTAGCGACCGGAAATACTTGAAAAGACGTTTTCTCGAACGTAATGCAACGCGGTACAAATAGAACTTTTAATACCTCAGATATAACATACTTGTAAAACTTTCCTGACCTTCTCCGTGATAAAACGTATTATATAGTTCACGCTTACAGTGTAAAATAAGCATGTATAAAATGAATTAGCCGAAGAAAAATATGGATCAATGTCTCTTTCTACGCGTGGGAGTATAAGGATGGAGTAATGTATGTATGTTTCGCATCGTCAATACTTATCGATCATTAATTGTTATAATTAGTTAATTTTTTAGAAATAAATTAAAAAAATCATGTAAAATACATATCACATTACTATAATTTAGCATTTGTTTCGTTTACTGTTCACTTTTATTGTTTATTATTATTTTAAACACATTATAGACATCGTTTTTTTCAACAATTATGGAATTTTGTGCATCAAAACTACCTATACACTTGATTATCTTTGTTCGTTTATTTTATTTCCTGTCCTTTAGTTTTACCTTTTTTCTACTCTAATTATGCTGTAATGATCGATATCGTTAGTTGTTCAGTTATTTTATTAATATAACACGCTAAAATTACCGGCTTTTTTCTTTAGGTTTCCCTGCAAAAATAGATTATATATCAGCTTTTTAATGTTTTCTTTTTTCAATATCATTGAATTTTATATCTATAAAACAAATTAAACATTATGTGATACATATAACAAAAATTTGCGCTATTATCGATCCATAATTAAGACTTAACATCGGCTAGATAAATGTACTGGAAACTGAACGCTTCAAGTTCAGGGACGTGTTTAAATAAGGATACGCAAGCCGATAGAAGTATCAAAGTCAATATTGCATTTTATAAAATAAGTAACATATTGTTATATTATACGACATTATTAAACGATAATATCTTGCTTGATGTACATGCACTAACCGGTAAATTACAATTGACGAAATGTAAAATTAAAAATTACATACATTATTCGTTAATGTTTATTATAATAAAAGAAATCATACAGCGATTCAATGAAATAAGATAACAGATATTTATTAGAAATTCGGAAAATTATAACGCAAAGCATTTTTTTAATTTTATAGAAAAGTAATACGTTATGCGAGAATTTAAAGACATGGAGAAATTGCCTTTTAACAAAAGATGATAAGGATTATATTTAAAATATTCGATACGCAGTAAAGCAATCTCGCAGGATGAGCTACTCGACATACATATATTGTCCGCCATAGAGACGTTAGCGCGCTTAATTATTAACAAGACTGTATGGGCAACATCGATGAATGAATCCTGTTGCGCAGACCGGTAGCTTTCATTGTAAAAGCGTCGATAGCTAGCATATAGTCAGTCAATTTTGCAGGGTGAATGTCGATGCGCGAGTTTCGGTCAGTATTGTTTTCTTTTTTGTGGTTTCAGCAAAGAATCAGAACGAAAAAAAACGGTTACACTTTGGCAAAATGACTGATAATTCAATCAAGGATGGTGTATTAGAGAACATAGAGAAGAAGAAATGTTTTCGAAACGAAAGCGACGGTCGGTAAAATCTAAAGGGAGCAGGCGTGGACTGTGAGTTCGAGTCGGGCGTGGGGATGAACTCTACGGGGAATGCGAGAGGGAGGAGGACTAGGGCGCTTCCTGTGGTTGGCACTAGCCTAAAAAAGCTCCATAAACAGAATCGCGGCCGAATGTCTTTTCAATGCAACGAAAATGGTGAAGTGTGGGAAAAAGTGGGCATTGAGTAAAGGCTTCGACAGTTCGAACCATGACAGAGGCGTCGGAGGAGTAAGTAATATAATAATGTCTGTGGTACATTCTGATGGTTGTTCCGCTTCGAAACTTGAAATGTCCGTGGCTATGGCTTAGGTTTTCTGCTTCTTCGATATCACGTTCACAGTGTGGCACATGACAATTTTGTACGACCTTATACCACTCGATGTCCTGTCAACATTTTGAACACCGATCAATCGCTCTATTTTAACTTCCTCCAAAATTTTACATGGTCCTTCGGACGATTCTTTCCCTCTTAGAAACGTGTCATGTTCGTTGGACAGCTATAAAAATTTACACAAGCAAATGTATGATTTCGGTCCAAGTGTTGGTGTGTTATCATGTGCCTGTGTAGGGGTGACCGTTCATTCATTAAATCGATGTCAGCGCGTAACATCTGCTATCTCGTATATAATAGCGATTCTTCGCTTTCGCGTACATATCGGTCTTGCGCGTTTTTACAATATCTTTAAACCAATTTCGATCGTATACGAGCACCGAAGTTTCCCACCGATTGCAAATCTGTTAATAAAATTTTATTTCTTACCAAACTTATGTGATAGAAAAATATCTTATATATAAATGTGTAATATCATTATTAAATATATTATTGTTCTTTAAATACATCGTTATGATTTTGTTCATGATGAATGTTATAAATTTTTACCATGTATCAGGTAACAAGACATGTAGGTTTTAAATATCTTTTTAAATTATTACTCAAGCAATTTTTAATGATTATATTTGTATTAACAAGTATAACGGTAGATTAATTGTCAGTTATATTAATTTCCTGAAATTTTATTTTTAGTGGTAACTATCTGGTGAGGGTTCGTGCCCAGGTAATGACAAGGGATGACAGTTCAGGTGGTTGGGTTCCTCTTAGTGGCGGTGGTTTAGCAAATGTTTCTGTTAGACGAAGACCAGCTTCTTCAGGTGGACATCAGTCTAATAATACCAATGGATCTGGTATTTCCACTACGACTGCCTCTACTACTAACAATACACAATCTATATCAACTACAAGTGTTACTAATACCCAAAATCATGGATCTTCTAATAGTTCCCCACCTGGTGCAACTAAGAAGAGGCATGAATATCTTATTTATGGAAAACGCATCACTGATCAATCAGTAATAATTATATTTATTAATCATTTTAATACATTGCTTATAACGTATGATGCAAAGTTATCTTTTCTTTATAGGTTGTTCTTAGCTGTACAATTAAAAAAGATTTTGAATATAACAAGGTAATGCCGACTTTTCATCATTGGAGGACAGGAGATAAAAGATTTGGTCTGACCTTTCAAACAGCTGCAGATGCAAGAGCTTTTGATAAAGGTGTTCGCACAGCTGTTGAAGAATTGTTAGAAGGTAATTTATTAATTTAATTGTTAAAATTTCATTATGATGGTAGAATTAACATAATATATCATATAATATAATGATAAAAATTTGTGTTAATTTTATGCTACTTTTTCTGAAATCTATAAATGGTAAGGATATCATTGTTGTTTTAAATATTATTAATTTGTAAATTTTTGCTTTAAATAAATATATAATGATAGGTCGTTTATAATTCAGGGTTGACCAATTCAACATTATATGGTAATTCATTAGATGCTGGTGATGAGGATGTTTTTATGGTATGTATTCTGAATAGAAGTAGATAAGGCATAGCAATATAAAATAAAATGTATAAAATTCAATTTATTTTATAGACTTTAAATTTACCTGTGGAACCACCAGAACCACGTCCATCATCGGATACATCTCATGTACGATTGTCCAATTATCGTTCCCAGTGTTCAGATTTTCCTGATTCACATAAACCTATTCATTATATTGGTGGACCGTCTATTAAAGTGCCACCATCTCAGCATCCTTTGGCATCGACTGAAGATGTTGGATCAGATAGCTATTCTTATGTGCAGCTCACAACGCTTAACCATGAATATTTATATCCTATCATTGGTGACCATAAAGGAGACCGATTAAATAGACATAATACCAGCAGTTCTTTAAAGAAACCAGATATTATAGTAACTCAACCTTCCAAAAATACTATGAAACGTAATGTTCGATTACGATGTAAACATTGCCAAGAGCTGTACTCAGAGCAGCAAAATCCTAGGGGATCTTGTGAATATGCACCTGATCCAATTAAACGAGGAATCGCAAAAATTTCATGTCTGTCTTGTGCTCAGGGTATGTTATATCACTGTATGAGCGATGCTGAAGGTGATTTTTCCCAGAATCCATGCAGGTGAGTAAAATTTTTGCTGAGATATTTGTTTCAGTTATTTTTGTTTGATTTTTTCCAAGCTGGTATGATATATGATATGATAGAAGAGTTTTCAAATATAAATTTTTAATATCTATAATGTATTCGATAGTTATCCAATAATCAAATTTATTACAAAGTTACAATTTATCAAATAACATAGCTAAGAATACATTATAAATAAATATCAAATTGTGCAGTTGTAGTACAGAAGAAGGATGTGGGCGCAGATGGTTTGGTTTGGCATTATTATCACTGATCGTTCCTTGCTTGTGGATTTATCCTCCACTAAGAGCTGTTCATTGGTGTGGCACGTCCTGTGGAATGTGTGGAGGACGTCACCATCCGATGGAATAACTGGAGGAACCCTTTGATATCTCTGTTCCATACTCGGTTGAATCAACTAACTTTTCTTCATCACGTGGTGCTGTGGCTAATGTGTATGAATGTCATGATTTGAGTATGGGTCGTTGTCAGAGGTATCAAAGGGGTAGACAACTTCCAGTACATGCACTTATCCATCAGCGTCATCTCTGAAATAATTTGTTTCAAAAAACCAAAAAAAATACGAGCACAAATTATCGCATTTAGCTCTGAAACCATGTATATTCCATACATTTTGTATATTTTATTAGCAAATACATTATTTAGACACATCTGTACATTAAATAATTTGAGAATGGACGTCGTTTAGTATTTACTCTGAATGATTGGTCCATAATAATATTATCTGGACTGACCAACTATTTGTGATACATGGTGCACACTGTGAGAATTCAGTCAAGAAATGAGACGTAATTTGTTATTCCCAGTTTGAAAGCTAGTTTTTGTCTCGTATGAAAATGATAAGGAAAATGTTTGCTATATTATAAGATTAAATTTTGCTGCGATTGTAGAAAGGATTATACAGAAATAAATTAAAATTTTTTATTTTATTATAAATAAATTAAATATGTTGTTTATTAATTTTTTTTACTTTGAATTTCATAAAAAAAAATTAAAAGTAATAGAATTTATGTTATTATAAGATGATACATATTATTTTATCATTCTTTTTTTTGTATTTAAAGCAAGATTTTGAATATTATTTATATATTGGTGATATTGACAAATTTGTTCTTTTAGTAGTTTATATAATTTTATTAGAAAAAATAATTTTAGTTAATTCAACTTAATTATGACATATGCAAAATGTATGTTTGTATTTTTACCTTTAAATGTTTAATAAGAAATGTACAGATTTTTAATCTACTTCAGTAATTAGCACAAACTGGTTGATAAAAGCTAGTTGCACTTTCACAAATATGTATCAAAATTAATGACTAAAAATTGTATCATGTTTTATAAAAAAATTATACAATCATTCAGGAATGATTGTGAATATCTGTAGTACGTAATTTTGTTTATATATCATTAACACACAATTCTGTTTTATTCCGATCCTTTTTTATTGTGCTCTTTGTATTTACAAAATATTAATATTTATATAGATTATATAGTCAGTTATCTGTTAAATGGAATTTCTTATGCTACTATGTTGACACAATGTTAAATACTAAATAATATCAGTATTTACTATTTACTAGCATAGTACTTTTAGTACTATCAATCTTATTGTTACTTCATGCACAATGAAGATAAGCTTAAGGAACTTTAAGTACATATATTGTCAGTTTGAGGCTTATTACATATACTGAAATATATTTTCAATTTGAAGTTGAGTTCTACTATATGACTGTGTATTTGCTGGAGGATAATTCTATGTGAACTTGGTTTGCATAAAATGGATTGTTTACAGAGATCTGAAACTTTCTCTTCTATAGTGTATATTATATGTATATTATAGTTCTTTAATATACATATACATATTTGGCATTCTTTAAAAGATTCTGATTTACTATTTGTATATCTAATTTTTTTTTTACTATACTAGAAATTATGAGAGGTAATTCATTTCATTCTATGTATTTTACAATAATTGAATAATATGGATACTTACTATTTTCAGATATTTAGGAAATTAAGATATTTTTGAAAGTAGGATACAGTTGGTTTTTAGCAATAATTCTGCTTATCAATGATCTGAGTAGAGATACTTTACAAGTAATCAGCTTTATGGACCATAATACATGGTTTTACAAATTTATTTGTTTTAAGAATTCATATTTTGTATTCAAATTTTAATTGAAAAAAATTAATTCTGATCTTACTAAAATGCTATGGATGATTAAGTGCAACATGAAAGCATAGTTGTTTTCTTGCTCATACTACATGAATATTGATATAGAAAAACCAATAATTTTTAATTAAAGCTTTTAAAGTGAGATGGTAGTTAGAATCAATAAACATGTTATAAATGTTGTAGAATGTTTTTATATTATTTTTGAAATGCAATTTCTAACAAATACGCGATGAAACCAGATATAGTTTTGGAACAACAAAATAAATAATGATTTGACAAAACTTTGCAGATATTAGAAGACAAAATATTTTAGAAACATAAAATAAAGATTTTATTACTGTTCATTAAGTTTTATTATGCCTTATGTTTCTAGTCTAATAATAATAATGTATATTTAATTCACTTATTAGTTAAAACATTCTTTTGTGTTAAAAATTTTAAGTTATGTCTATAAATCTATGCAATTAATGTAGTTTCATTAACAAATAATTAAAATTATTTTACATGTAATGTACTATGTATTTAATATGAATTATTTTTCTTTTACTTTTACTTTTAATTCAGTTTTAATTTAGTTTCATAATTCTTGTTTACTAATCTTAAATATTTCAAATACTGCATTAGCATAACAAACATTATGTCTGCGTTTGTGAGTTGATTATTTCATGAATATACTTAATGACATTGTAATGCTTTATCTCTCTGAGCTTTGTATCATTTTTTATTATATATATATATATATATGCATAAATGCTGCGATTTTGAAGTATTTTTAATAATATTATATTATGTTTAGTTATTTTATAAATAACTCATAAAACCTTATAAAATTTAAATAGAAACAGATAAAGATCTACTTGATAATGGATCTGTCTTTTCATTCATAAAATCAATTTTTCATTGCAATATTTTCGTTTTTCACGCATTAATAAATATAATATAGATTTTACTTTTGAAAACAATAGTTTTATGCTTTGTAAAACACTATTAAACATGAATACATTTTTTTAACAGAAGAAAGAGAGAAAGAATATTAAATACAGTTTATAAAAATGCTTTCAACAAAAGAATAATCCTTCATTTTAATAATATAAAAGATTATATTTGTATTTTTACTTAATAAGCTCAGGGAGATATTCAAAAATGGTATAATTATGTATGTACAATATACGTTTACTGTAAATTTATTAAAATCGATCAGGATTTATTTTATACAGAAAAATTTATATAAGAATCTTCAGAATAAATTCACAGAATTTGAAAATTTTATTTAAAAATTCACAATTTTGTAAATATTAAATTATTTACTGCCATAAAAAGTCGATAGTTTAATTTTGATATCAAACATTTTTTATTTGTATTGATTCAAAGTATTCCACTTACATATGTAATGTAGACAGTCTTTTTTTGTATAATATTTAATTAAATATCACTATCGATTTTTAGTTACAAATAAGTACAAAAAATTATTTTTTCAATAAGTCCGTTGTGATGGCTCATACCAAACGAGAGATACATATATAATCATTTTCACAGTGTAGTTTTGTATGACATTGCGTGACTGTGTGAATGTACTTCTATTTAATTCTTTTAATTATGAAGTATGACTGTAAGTTGCAATTGATCTGAGATATTACGTGTCTATAATTATAGTGATCAATAATGAACAGAAAATATAAATAAATATAGTTTGTACGATAATTATATGACAATGTTGATGATAATAATTATCGACACAAATATGTGTGGATGTATTAAAAGAAGTGCAAATTGCGTACGCATATTTATACTAATAAACGTGGGAACGTATGCACATATAGAGAATATTTATACACAAAGTTATTGTGAAAGTTGTCAAACTGGGAAAATGCATAAAGGTGCCTGCCAGAAATGGAAAACGTGTAAACACATTAGTGGCAGTGCTCAAACGAGATCAGTTTGCAAAATAAACTTATAGTGTATTTTCACCAATAATGTAAATGCTGCAAGATTAACAAATATAATTTTAATTTACAGATTCATTATATCATAAATGTTTAAATCTTGTATCATTGTAATTAAAAATATGTATCATAATCCAAATGTATAAGAAATAAATATATTGTACCATGACAAAATGTCATATAAATCAAGTTTGTTGTTCTAAAAGTTTATGAAATACATTAAAATACATTCTGAAAATATGTTTTCTTTAATCATTGATCACTAGAAATACATTATGATATTCAATTTATATTACATTTAAGTTGTACATGTAATAAAATATAAGTTCATAATTATACTGACTGTATGAACAAGATATATATACATTAAGTTGTAAGATATAATGTAAACAATTAATGTGCTTCTGGTACATGGCCATCAACATAGAAATTTCTTGTCGCTTGAGGCAGTTCCAATTCTATACCGTCTAATTCTTTTGTTAGTATAATTTGACAACCTAAAAATATAAAATTGTTTTTAATATTTTGTAAAGTTAAATATATTTTTTTTAGACTTTTAATATGTTTTAATTTGTTTACCTAATCTAGAGTTTTCTTTTAAAAATGGAGCTAAATCTAACAAATCCTCCTCTTTTTCTTCAGCTGTTGGGAGTTTATCCAAGTAATTATGATGTACATATACATGACAAGTGGTGCAAGCAAGGGACGCTTCACAAGCACCTTCCATCTCAATTCCATATCTATGAGCTAAATACAATACATTATCTCCCACTTTCCCTCTTACAGGTATTCTTTCTCCCATTTTGTTAATGAAAGTAACATTTACACTATAACATTTAAGAAATTGCATTAATTAACATCTACAATAATAAGATTTTCATTTTTGTATTTTGTATAAAACAGATTGTAATATTTATTTGCAATGTGATGTAATGTTTATGTCAATTTTACCTACATATCAGCTTCTGATTTTGGCTCTTGCATTTCATATTCACCATGGAAAATATCTGAAAAATATTCATTATTCAAATAAAGCAATTTGTTTTTAAACAATTAAAATACGTACTTAAGTTATTTATATTATTTTTAGCAAATCATATTTATATAGGTGTTTGATAAAAATATATTTACATTTCGACGTATGAATGTCGAAATTTGATATTGTTACTATCGGATTCACTGGTAAAAGTGATCTTTTTACTATACTTTTCCATGCTGACAGTCTCAGAAGAAGTGTCATTTTTTTTATATAATTTTATTCTAATTCCTCTAACAATATTATGACAATACCGCGCACATTTTACAAACAAAAACACGCACTTTCATTTCATTGATCGTCGAAAATAAAGATTGGAAACTCGATGGGAGTGAAGGTGTCAAAAGATGTCAAAATCATTGCTACCATTGTTTTGTATTATTAGTGAATTAAAAATAAATTAACGTTTCTTGTTTTCATAGAATTGAATTATCTTTTTAAAACGAGGTTTGATTTCTAATCCGCAATTGAAAATGTAAAATTTGAAGAATACTTGCGTGTTTAGTGTAAGATGTATTTGAAAAGTTGGCAGCAATTCGCGCACATGCGTTTTTTCTTGGTGGTCCATTTTTCAATGCATTCGCACATCACATTGATAGATGCTCGTTACTGTCAAGTGCATTCTAAATATCGTATTTGTTGTGTATTTTAATTTCGTTACTGTGTTACTCGTTTCTTGCAAGTCTTTTAAGACCCTAGAAAATTGCCAGCGATGCAATGTATCAAGTTTTCATCAGTGGATACCGTTTGGCCGAGGTGTCACACGGCAAGCCCTATTATGTTTACTGCATCGAGGTTCTGGAGTCGGAAACTGGTACTCGATACTTTATCGAGAGAAGATATAGCGAATTTAATGCTTTACATCGCACGGTATGTGCTGTTCTTCTGTTAATTCACATCGAAATCTAGCGATCTCTTTGATCATACAAAAATATCTATTGTACATATAAAGTTTAAGTCCAATTGTTTCTCACTTTTACGTCAGTATTTTTATTCAAACTCTCATTTAAAAGATAGGATACAATTAGACAATAATTTCAATATCTTCGGAGATGTATTAGTATTCATTCTACGTGTAATAATAAGTATAGAATATAATAAGTATAGAACTGTGAGTAGTTAAACGACTGTAATCTTCGTCATGACTCGCACTATGATGTGAGAAAGAAAGAGACAGATTCAGGATGTATCTCTGCAATTTTTTTCTACTTTTTTTACAAGGATAATGTTTTCTTTAGTCTCTTTTCTTTTCCTATTCAGTTTCGTTCCCACAAATGAACGCGTAACCAGATTAATATCCGCGAGAATTTGCGTATTACGAAATATTAAAAAATACATGTACATTACATAATAACGTATATACCTGTATTTGCATCATTGTATTATGTTTAGCGCATTAACATTGTTTTCGTCGTAAGAACACTCTACGTGATAATATTATTCATTTCAAGATTTCTTTTTTTTTCAGTTGATTTACTTTTGCTTAATGTACTCTTAATGACTAATGTACAATATAAATGTATTCTTGATGAATACAGTATAAATAAATGTATTCTTGATGAATACAGTATAAATAAATGTATTCTTGATGAATACAGTATAAATAAATGTATTCTTGATGAATACAGTATAAATAAATGTATTCTTGATGAATACAGTATAAATAAATGTATTCTTGATGAATACAGTATAAATAAATGTATTCTTGATGAATACAGTATAAATAAATGTATTCTTAATATCTTTCCGATAGTGTACGATTAGTCATATTAATAATGCATATCATCAGCGTTTTGACGATATACCATGTTGCTGGCATCGTTTATATCAGCGTTTTCGTGTTCATTTAGAGTCTGATTGGATTGCACGAAAGTTGCACGCAGAATAAAAACGTCTAATACTGTGCGCAGTTATTAACATCGAGTCAAGTTTTCATTAGCATAACTGATAGTATCAAGTTATGTTTCAAATTGTAAGTTACAACTATGCAAAGCAGTGTTCTACATCTTTTTGCATATTTAGATAGAGTAATGTATAAATTTTTTATTAACAATTAACCCTTTCGATGTTTATATCGTCATGAAAACATGGCTTTGTTCTTTTTTTTGTTTGATGACGAGTAAAAAAAATATGCACTTGCTAAACTAAAATTTAGGCAAAACAAAAAATATACTCGTAATTTTAACACATTTTAGAGCACTTGCAGATGAACGCGACATGTCAGACATATAAGTATGAAAGAATAATAAATTGTACTTGTGATAAAATATTATTTAATTATTATATTAGAACTGCGTCTTCGTTGTAAAATTATATCTGCACATATGAACGGGTACAAATTAATAACATACCGATCTTTCTTTGACATTACTCGAGTAACAAAAATTTTTCCTAGTAATTTATACTAGTTTTGTCAAACTTTAGGCCTCTATCAGGCTGTTAACAATCTGTAAATTTTACATTGCAACATTTCATCAAAGTAATTTCGAACTCTGACGTATCGTTGTTTTATCATTGTCGCATGATAGGGCGTATTATTTGCAGTATTTGTTTAATTACAGCTGAAGAAAGAAAACGCGGATGTTGCTCCGTTTCCGCCAAAGAAGGTAAGAAACTCCCAGCCAAGGGTGCTCGAGCAAAGGCGAGCAGCATTGGAAGTGTACATCCAAAAAATGTTAAGGCTTCCAGCCACGAAGCAACAGGTTCTCAATTTTCTGGGTATAGAAGACCGAACATCCGGCGCGTCATATAAAAAGTACGTGCTCATGTGAGAATATTTATAATACTTGCTAACTTTGTGAGATATTACATTATATTGTAATCAGACTATGGATTTTTATGCATAATTGTACAGTTAAAGAAATAGAACCTAAGAAGAAAATTGTTTCTTTTGTACAGAATTAATATTTGCATGTGTGCGTTTTTGCACTTTAGAATTTCCCATGAATGCATGAAAATCTGTTGGCTAGTAGTAAAATAGTAAAAAAATAGCAAAAAAAAAATAAAATAGTAAAAAAATATAAATCTATTTGACTTTTAGAGAACTTTAATCATATATTTATTTTAATCAAGTATTTATTTTGTTATTATCAAAAGGGTGAGAATATACACGTATAAAAATTTGCAGCGTCCTTCACTCTTTGGATGAAATATACTTCTCTCCACACTTCTTTAAGAAACAAAAATATTATAATTTTGAATATAATTAATAAAATTTTAATAGTATAAGAAAATAATGTTGTAAATAAGAATTTGGTGTTAGAGTTAAAATTGAAAGAAATTATCGTTGAAAATTTTAAAATTTCGTACACGAGTACAGCCGTTACCAAATATGTGCCTAATTGGTTTTGCTTATGAAAAAATTCTTGCTTCGATGTATTCTTCTTTTTTTTCGTCTCTAAAGTCGCATGTAAATATGTTTATTCTATTTCAGTACGTACAAAGATACGGAGGATCAGCAATACGTTAACACAAATACTCTTGGCCATCAACCCGTATTAACTTTCCACTGTGATCCATATGTTCAATCGAATGCTACACCGAACAGTCTTCCAGATGTCGTGATCGACGGTGTACTTTTGGGTTTATACAAGTCCCGAGAAGCTTACTAACCTGCTCGCAACAATATCCTGTATGAAAAGTGTAAAAAGAACCACACGCTTCATGGGAAGCTCTGTTTTATTATGATCCAAATGAAATTTAGGTCAGAGATAAAGTGGTTCTATTCAGTAAGTGTGTTAATGTTTTGCTGTACTGAGATATGCGAGATGTGTGTTGTCATTCCAAATTTGACTAACGAAGAACGTGAAAGCGGAAGAAATCGAGTTCACACTCCTGTTTAAACATAAGAATTCTGCGCATCTGTTTAATGTAGTCAAGGCGTTTCAAGGAAGGAAATATATGCTCTGTTATATTTGAATCATCGTCTTGTTTATTTCATCTCATTATTCTCAGAGTTTACATTACTTGTGACATTCATCTTAATTCTATTTTAACTTTATCGTACTGAATATCTGGATTGTAAATGTAAATGTAACTCATAAGCGGATCTCTTGCGGTATTCTTTTATTCGCATTAATTTGTCTACTACCGTTTAGAGTGGACGTCACGGACATTCGATAAAAATCCTTTGTCGATACACCCGCTAGCTCGTTATTAAATGTATCATTGATGCAATTTTCCTTCGCGTCGGGGACACAGAGTTCTGTTTTTTTTTTTTTTTCTCTAAGGGAATGGAAATGACATGTTGTGAATTCGATTGACAATTTTACATAGTATCATCGTGAAAAAAAGGAGGGTAGGTTTCTAACTGATTCCAGATAACGATACACGCCTCTTCTTCCCTCCCCCTCCCCCCCCATTTATCCTTTTCTTATCCGTCTATCGCGATGGGTTAGCCAGTAATTCATCTAGCGTCTGGTTAATACAAATATAGCCTCGAGATTAGTTTGTTCTTTTTGTCAATGAAATCGGACCCTATCGATTCCCTATTCTTAAATCTGTCCTATCGAACGATAAGTATAGACTGGCAGGGGCATTCGAAACGGGCAGGTGAAAATGGTGAATTGAGGCGGTGTAATTCGTTTTGGTCCACTGGATCGGGCGTGTTTGCGTTGCACTCGACGCGCAGTTTTCTAGCTCTCGATGTACTCGGGTTTCTGCTGAAAAATAGGAAATCTTTTTTTTTTTCGGTCTCGCGGTCGCGATGCTTTTCTTTCTCGCGTTCTCTGTTGTTTTTTTCTTTCTATTTTTTTTTCTTAGAAAAATTTGAAAAAATTGGCGAATACCGCACATCGAAGATGCCGTGACAACGGTAGTAACCATGTGTGTACGTATGTATGTATGTGTGTATGTACGTACGTACGTATGTATGTATGTATACTCGCGATAGTAGGACCTTGTTTCGTATGTACAACATACAATCTTCTTTATGCTGTTACAATTGTTATAGTTATGATAATAAACTGAACCTCCCAAAAGGTAAACGCCTCGTTTTTTTTTTCTCTTTTTTTTTCATATCAAATGTACTGCATTAAATGTATAATTATATACAAGCTCCTCAGTCTTGTGCGAAGTGTAAGACGATTTTAGGTTCTAGCACTTCCGCCTCGGTGAAAACTAATCGTTACGAATATTATATTTATTATTTCCCGAATCGTTTTCTTTTTTTTTCTTCTTCTTTCTCTCTGTCAAACGTTTCGTTTCTACTGTCTCTCCCGTTCTTTCTCCCACTTTTGCTTCGCTCTTTTCCTTCCCTTTGTACGCGATCGTAGTTATTGTGTGTTAGTCGTGCAAACGAGTCGAAAGACGATTCTTCTCGATTTTCGTAATTACGACCTGTGTGTTCTTTCGTCGCGAGCTGGCGAGATATTACAAAATTTATTGTTGAGTAGCTTAAAATGGTAAAACGTTACATCGTTAATTTAGTTGCTTATTGCCCGTGCGTGGCAGTTTGTTTCATTGAACTTTGAACTTTGATCTTGTCGTTCGATCTCAATTAGATTCGCTTTCTTCAAACATCTTTCCGTAAGTTCGAAACGGAATGAAGGAAAATATTTAAACGATAGGTATACGTTTTGTTACCTAACTATAAAGAAGAATAAAAAAAAAAAAAGAAATGATGCACATCTCTCTTTGACGTTATCTTTATCGTTATCTAACGTATCTCTAACGTCTAATGAATTATTTATATCGTACAAGTCTCGAGGGAAAAAAATGGAGCTGTTGGTCGCCATTTAATACGCGGACAGTAATAGGTCAGCGCATTGTTTTTTTTTCTTTTTTTTTTTCTTCACAAGGCAACATACTCTCACAAACGATATGGTAAAATCATTCCTCGGTTTGTCGGTTTATCGGTAAAACGTAGCAAAAATCAGTAGCGTTAAATGGTAGTTAAATAATACTATTCGTAATATGTCAAGGTAGTCGTTACTAAAGTATTATCATTCCCTTCGCATCCCTTATGATACGTACATATACGTAGTATTATTACCGCATGTATACATTATACGATTCTTCCAAATGAAATGAGTATTATTGTACAAATCAGAAATTTCGTATGCCTGCCGATGTGCATACAATTTGCACATACGTGTTTGGATGTAACGTACGACATTAACCCTTTATTTGATCACGTTCGCGTTTAAGTAGCAGTCTTTTCGTTAGCATCATTCTGGTTGCTCTCCTTCGTTACGCCGTTACACGCGTACCACTAATCGTCGAATTTTTCTATCTGCCAAATAAAGGATTAAACGTAGATATAGTATTTATCATCGTTCTTGGGCGCAACAACCGTTCTCAATGACTCGCGTTCGCCCGTCCACTAGTTTCCGGTCGGCCCTTGCAACGCCCCTTGAAACAAATTCACATTTCAAGGGTACGTTGAACGCGTGCGGCGCGAAAACGAATATTGCACTAATCTAAACTAATTTAAAACGAATTCGCTGAAAAGATTTCCTGCTGTTAAACCTTATAATGTCCGGAATCTCTGCCGGCCGCAATTTTCAACGTCACTCGCAATTTCTCCGCACTGGCACGTCCGGAAGTGAACGCGCGAACGAGACGTTCTCGATGGTTCCACGAGCCGACGGAGAACGACGTCAGCGATGTTTGTACAGCATGGCTGAAGAGAACGGGCGCGATGGTTGGATGACTCGTTTTCTGTGCTTTTATCGATCACTTTTCTGCCATGGTGGTAGGCCATCCGCCTACGTCAACGCGACTCCAGCTACACTCTAGCTAATATTAATTAGGGCTACGATGCTATATGTACAGAAAACGCATTGCATTGGCACAGCAAACAATGTGTGCCTGGACTGCCATCCATCGTTTCGACGCATAGCGTAGTACGCTCATTGTATGTATGTACTCACTTAGGTACTCATTCGTCATGCTCTCGTATCTTATCATAGCGAAATAATCGTGGCGTATCAATTGCAGATCTTCTCCTCGTCTCTCCTCTAATAACAATTTTCTTATCGATTTTCTATTCCGTTAAATCTTACTCGATTTTATTCTTTTTTATTTTTTTATTTTTTTCCTCCGCTCGAGTGAGAACATCTCTGCCCAACTCTTGCAACTTGCTACATTCGCTACGACATTTTTTTTTTTTTTTTTTTTTTTTTTTTTTTTTTTTTTTTTTTTTTTTATAGCAGAATATCATATTTTGTTAATGCAATTACAAGGAGACGTAAAAACGTTCCGACGCGTTTCATACTTTTTTTTTTTCGCAGTTACTACCGTCTTCTACAGTTGGGCAGACCCGTTTTGTACTATACGATACCGATTATTTTCTAAATTATATTCGAGCGTAGCGTTCTATATTCTCGACGAGTCACTTGCAAGGATATCCTTCGATGAACGCGAAACTGAGAAAAACGGCGCCGATGTACTAATCAAGCACGTATTTTGTCATACTTGTGATGCCAAGCGAAACCAAGGTCTACGTGTTTATCATGTACGTGTTAGTCAATCGTGAGTGAGCGTAATTTTTCATTGTTGCAACGATCGACGAAAGAAAATCGAGTTTTTCACTTCTAATTAAGATAACGACGTTATCGATAATATAATCGGTAGTGATAGTTTATTGACAAACGTCAATAAACGTTGCAAAAAAAATAAATTACGGAGCATTTGACTAATCGACGTGAATATATTAACCAACATTTTTAATCGACAATTAGCTCGTTTGTCGTATTCGACCAACCGTTAATAAACCATTCAAAGCCGATTATACTAATTGAAAATGTCAGTTGTAAAGCCTGACAAGCCCACGTTTTAATAAGATTCACGCTCGCGAGAATTATATATCGTTTTCCCTCTTTTCACCATCGAAAATCGAAACACGCTACGGAGGAACACGAATATCAGATTATCCGAGAAATTCGTGTCGATTTTCGGCGCATTGGATCGGAGCTTGTCGGAATAACATTAAAGATATTCAAGAAAAAAGTGATTTATACACGTGTACAAACGGTTTTCGAATTAATACCGCTTATCCCAAAGATCAACAATTTTTTATCGCTCGCAAAGGAATATCGATACGAGTTTCTAGGACTCAGTGGTTTCTAGGACTTCAATTGTTTTCAGAACATTTTTATTCAAACCATCGCGTAACATGAAGAGGAAAGGAAATGGTTACAATTACAGTATACAGAACGAGGCTACGTGATACAAAATACAAAACAAAATATAAAACAATTTCACGCACGTTATTTAATCTTAAAATGAAGAGAAGAAAAGAAATGGTTAAAATTTGTCCAGTTTGCAGTGTACAGAAGTGGGATACTTCGTAAAGAAATCGCGAGGATCGTTGGACAAACCGTAGGACTCGCCCGGCTTTACGAGGAATTAAAAAGTTACATGAAATTTTCCACAATAAAAACAGTAAAAAATAGGACTTTCTCGAATTTTACTACGATTCTCAATTCGCCAATTGTTGCGAGCTTTCGTTAATCGATCGACCTTACGATCAATTAAAAAGCGTATTAAATTTTCTACAATAAATGCAAAAACATTTATTCTATGTAAAATACGACTGCATTTCTCAATTTGTCAAATTGTTGCTTGTTGTCAAAGTTAATACTTGCGATCGGTTTTGAAACGAAGAATTGAAATGTGTGTTGAATTTTGTACGACAGGTTCAAGAATATTATTCTACGAAATATAATAGAGAACTTTCTCAAGTTCTATTACAATTCTCAATTCGCTCAATTCGGCTGCGAGTTTTTATTTGAGGAATCCACGTGAAAAAGGGGAGATGTTAATCTTAATAAATTTTGAATTTAACATTTTTTTCGAAACGCATGATTCTTTCGCGCTGCGAATTAAAAGTTTCTGAATTTTACATTTATATTGGAAAATAAATTCTCCAGTTTCCCAACATGTTGCTAAAGTTTCTTCCTTGTTCTCGTGGACTCT